GTGGCTCTTCCAGGAGGCCGACGGACGCGTCGACTCTTCTATTCTGGACAGTACAGAACTCAGACGCGCGCGCGCGCGACAGACTTCTGAATCGTCCACATTAGCATAGTCGACATGTATTCCAAACGCTGAATTCAAAATTTCTGTGGTTTTCTAAGGGGGCGGACGGACGCGTAGACTTTTCTAGTGTGGACAATGCAGAACTCAGACGCGCGCGCGAGAGTTCTGTACTGTCCACAATAGACTAGGTGACATGTAATGCCAAAAACAGAATTCAAAATTTCTGTGGCTCTTCAAGGAGGCCGGCGGACGCGTCGACTTTTCTAGTGTGGACAATACAGAACTCAGACGCGCGCGCGCGCGCGACAGAGTTCTGTATTGTCCACAATCGCAAAATCGGCATGTGATCCCAAAAACTGAATTCAAAATTTCTGTGGCTCTTTAAGGAGGCCGACGGACGCGTCGACTCTTCTATTGTGGACAATACAGAACTCAGACGCGCGCGCGCGACAGAGTTCTGCATTGTCCACATAAGCATAATCGACATGTAATTCCGAAAAAATGAATTCAAAATTTCTGTGGCTCTCTAAGGAGGCCGACGGACGCGACGATTTTTCTAGTGTGGACAATACAGAACTCAGACGCGCGCGCGCGACAGAGTTCTGTATTGTCCACAATGATTTCCAAAAACTGAATTCAAAATGCCTGTGGCTTTTTAACGAGGCCGACGGACGCGTCCACTTGTCTAGTGTGGGCAATGCAAAAGTCAGAAGCGCGCGCGCGACAGAGTTTTTGCATTGTCCACACTAGAACAGTCGACATGTAATTCCACAAACTGAATTCAAACATTCTATGTACAGGGCATCTGTCTGCCCCCCCCCCGTCGCCGTCGCACCGCGCGGAGAGTTTCGGAAACAAGTGGAAGGTCCATCTGTCGCGGCCCCGCCGGTCGCTGTCGCACCGTTAGCCAACCTGCGTGATTTGTGCTGCGCATGTGCGTGGCCCCCCCCCGTCGCCGTCGCACCAAAAATATTGCGTGCCACGCGTGCTTGAACTGAGCTGTCCACGGCGAGCATATCGCACATCGCACAGCTCATTTGACCGATTAAAAAATGGCCCGTGCGACGACATATCGTTTTTGCGCATTTGTCCACGACGGGCCCGTTGCCGCCGCACTTGGGAGATCCCGTCGGGGGGGGGGCCCTTCATCAGTAGTGAGCACGCGCCACGCGCGCGCGCGCGTATGCGCGTCGTTGGAGGTGCCATCCGCTGATTGGAAGCGGCCCCAAGAGAGCGCCCATGAAGGAATCCTCCAGGATGGAGGGTTCGAAAGATCCTCCACAAACCAACAGAATCCGTCTGGGCCCCTGGGATTCCTGGGGGGCCCCGGGCGACGCAAAGGGGCATGCTTCAAATTTGGGGGCACGGCCGCAATTTGAACATTTTCTTCTCCGGGCGCCTGCGGCGGAGCCTGGAGGGATGGAGGGTCGGAGTTTAATTTGAACGAGATTCCCAATAATATCTGCGAAACACATTCGAACGAACCGGGTCAACTTACGGGGGCGCCCCGTCATTTCCAACCCTCGCCCTCCTCGTCCTCCTCGTCCTCCTCGTCCTCGTCGTCGCCCTCCCCGTCCTCCCCCCAGGATGCCCGAAATCAAATTAAAATCGGCCCCCGGGCCCTTCCCAGGGCCCCCTCCGAAGCAGTTTTTCACCCTGGATCGATTTTCGACGATCCCGGGGCCCGAAAGCGGCGTCCGGAGGCCTAAAACGACAAAAAACTCTTCAAACCTCGATCCTCGAGGTTCGAACCTCCCCTCCCGTTCCCTGCGCCGAAGACGCTTCAAATCCTACGAAGACGCCTGCGCGGAAGCGGCGCGTGGGCTGAGCTCGGGAGGGCCGCGCTCGCGCCCGCCGCCTGAAACCCGTGGAGTTGGGCTGCCGCCGCTGTGGTGGACGAGATGGCCGCGTCTCCGATGACGCCAGCTATTTTCGTCGACCCCTGAGGTTCGAAGTCCGAGGCGGGTTTCCGGCGTCGAAGCCTGTGGAGGCCATTTTCGGGGCCCAGGACCGTCAGAAATCGATCCGGAACGACAAACTGCGCCCCGGGGGTGCCGGAGTCATGCCGAACGGCCACCAGAGTCCCCGAGACAGAATTATGGCCCGATAACCGACTGGGTCGGGTCGGCGTTCACGTCCAGGTTCGAGCCTCAAGCCTCGAAGACCGAGATCCTCTGGCCCCTGGTGGCTCTCCTCGTCGCCACGGCCGGACGCGGCGCGGAAAACTGGTGCGCTCGGGCCCCGGGAGGGTTCCGGGGTCCCATTTCAATCGGGTTTTGGCCGACGGGGGCGGACGACGACGACGACGACGACGACGACGACGACGACGACGACGGCGACGACGACGACGACGACGACGATGACGACGACGACGACAACGGAGCAGCAGTCAGCGCAACTTCCCGGCAACATGCGCGTAGGGGCACTCGCGCATGGCTGTTTTTTGGTGGGGGAAGATGGGAGCGGACAGCGCGACGGAACCCCCAGCTCGCTCACCCTACCACGCGATGAAAGCGCATGGTGCACGCGCAGGGGCAAACATGTAGTGAGCAGCCCTCGGGGCAAGCATTCGGTCAACGGCCCTTGCGTTACGCATGTCAACCCTACGCGGGGGAAGGAGGAGAGGAATGGAGGGGGGGGGGAGGAGGAGGAGGAGGAGGAGGAGGAGGAGGAGGAGGAGGAAGAGGACGACGAGGGACTTGATGCGCAAATGGCACCCTCGAGCGACAACTGTCGGTATCGCACGGAATTGTGACAAAAATTGGATTGAACTTCGTCTTGCCGAGACAGGGTGAGCAGGGCAGAGAAAGGGAGGGAGGGGGGAACACGTGGCACTCAGAACGGGGTTCACAGGCGCGGCCTCGAAAATCTGCAATGGCCCTGGAGTCGAACTCGCGCTGGGGAAACATGTCCTCAGAAGCGCTGCGCAAACAGGTCGTCACGAACAGTGGACAGGAATCTGTGGCGCAAGCTATCGCGTCTCCGTTGAACCCCTCGTGAAAAGGGGGCACCAGGCAGAAAGTCCCCGCAAGCTTCTCAGAAGCATGCGATATCGACTGGGCCGGCACACCCTAACAGCAGCAACCAGGAATCAACTTGAGGGTAGCATCCGCGCGGCGGCGGGCGCTGAAAACCGGACGCAGCACGACTGTGAAGCAGAAGAGCGAAGCGCCCCGCGATCGCGAAGCAGAAGGAAGCGCCCCACGACTACGAGGTAGAATAACGAATCAAGTAGAAAACGAGGCAGGAAGGAGAAGCCAGCCCGAGGGTGGCAGGGGAGGGGAACCAAACCTCGAACTTCTATTCAGCACGCGCAATGACGAAGCGCACTGGAAGCGCACTCGGTTGAATCAGCGCCAAGCTTCGCTGCGGCTCCACCCTCCTCATGCCCCTCCGATTGCCCCGGTCCTCATCATGCCTTTCATCCACACTGCTCCCCCCATGTGCCAATTCACGTCGTTCCTCGTCGTCCTCCTGCGCCGGATTCGTTCCCCCATCGTCCACATGCCTGCCCCCCTCCCATCCTCTACGGCCTAGTGCACATCATGCCCCCAACTTCTGCCCCCCACCCCACCTCCCTCGCCCTCGTGATGCTGACGCCGACGATGCAAATCCTCCTGGGCTTATTTCCTCCGCTTTCGTCCAGTCCCGTTCATCCTCGGCCCCTCGGCCACCCCTCCTGTCGAACCCCTTCCTTCCCACAGCCCACCCTCCCCGCCCCCCCCGCGCCATTGCATGCCCAGACCACGGCCCCCTCCTGGACCAGCCGGGAGACCCGCGGAAATTCCCGCCCAGAGACCACTCCAGCGAATGGCCGGCAACAAATTCACAGTTGGAGACACGAACTGTGTATTTCGACCGCGCACGACGCCCCCCTGGACCAGCCGGAAGAGAAACGCGAAAGTTTCCGCCCATTCAACACCAACCGCGAGGGACACACTCCAAATACACAGATGGGAACGAGATCTGTGTACACAGATCACACCACGATCTGTGTAAACTGCGGGCCCACACACGAAAATACACAGTTGAAGACACAAACTGTGTACACAGATCACACGTTGATCTGTGTATTTCGAAAAGGTAAACGCTCGCCACCTCGAGGGCGCCCCGACTTTGCCAGCCCAGAACCGAAGTTGACATGCCCAGCTGGGGGGGAATGCAAATACACACTCCCCGGCCCAGGGCGCCCCCGAGAGAACCGCAAATACACGCTTCCCTGGCCCAGGGCGGCCGCGGTGTAACGCGGCGCCAAAGCGGCCCCCAACGGCCCGAAGACGCCCCAAAAGGCCTCGAAGGACACCAAATAATGCCGCGCAGCTGTCCGAAAACACGAGAGATGTTACATGTCATGGACCTCTTACAAGTCAAAACTCCACGCGCCGCCATAGAGACCACTGCTGGCGCAGGGGGGCGGACCTTGCCGCAGGCACCTATAATTTACATGTTAGCGATGCGACTGTGCTCGGCGGCCGTGCCGCCCGCATTTTGGGTGCGCCCCGAACTCTCGCATTGGCAATCCCCTCTGTTTGGTTGCGCCGCCGTGCTCGGGTATCGAAGAAGCATTTACCGCTGACGCGGGCACGCGGCACCGGGGACTTCACTTTTCGAACAAGGAGGGTGGACGAGGTAGGACGACGGACGGTGGAGCAGGGAGGCAAAGAGGAACGAGGAATAATAAGGGAGGTGGGAAGGGGCGCTCCCCCGCCCGAGCCGCGGACGCTTTCGACACCATCCAGGGGAGGGAAGACAGGAAGGGGAACGGAGCAAGGGCGAGGACGACGACGGGAAGCAAAGTGTCCCAGGTCCTCATATAGCCATATGTCTGCGATTCGGGTGCGCGCGCTTTCTTCGAGGCACTTCAAGCCGGACCCATGCTGAATTCACGAATTCCTCAAAACTGTGTAAACACTCTGTCCTCTGTTCCCTCTCCTATACAACGGCCTCATAACAGAGGGGCAGTGGATTCCAAGCGGCCCTCCCTGGGCAAGCTGGAGGGTTGCGCTGCGTTCTCCGAGCTCGCCGCCGCGCAGGCCAGGTGTCCGCGCGCGCCGGGCCCTGCGCCGCCGCGGGGCAGGCGCCGACGGGCGCGCTATCAGCTCGGGCCCTCCCGGGCTGAGGGGCGCGAAGGAGTGCGGGGCCCCCTTCGGGTCTGCCTGGAGGCCGGCTTCGGCGAGAGCGGGGGGCCCTTTTATCCCTCGCGGTCTCCTGTCTCGAGAGCGTCGAGGCGATGCAGCGCGAGGGTGGAGGGGTGTTTTTTTTTTTTGTTTTTCTCATGTGCGCAGGGGCCGATCGGGCCAGGGCGAGCAGGTGCAGGGCCTCCCGGCGACGGTCAGGGAGCCGCCGGGGATCTCGTGGGGGCGCGAGCGCTGCGCAGCCTGGAGGAAGAAGCACTTCCCCCCTGGGCGGATGCCCCTTGGAGGCGCTGCGCGCCGCGATGCAGGGCCACGTGGGCCACGTCCGTAACGAAGAGCAGGCGTGGGTCGGGTCTAGGCAGGGGGGGCGCAGACAGTGGGCGGCCCGCTCGGCGCTGGAAAACCGAAGGGGGAAAAGCTCGCGAGGGGACTGAGCAGCCCCATGGCTGGATGCCCTTCCGATGCGTGCCTCGACGGGGCCCCTGGAGAAAATGCCATCATGGCCAGGTGGGGGCCTCTCAGGAGGGGTGGGGGCGCATCTGGAAGCTTGGAAACGCGCCAGCTCGACCCCCAGACGCGCGCCGAGTTGCCCTCGCCAGAAGACCCGCAACATCCGGCAGAGCCAACAAGTAACGAGGTCCGTCCCGGGGAAGTTTATAAGGCGCGCGCGGAGGTAGGCGTGCGCCACTGGGCCCCGCGCATCTTGAAGCAGCTAGGTTCGTCGAGGCCGCTTGCGCGCTGAGTGTCCTGCTGTTCTTCTGGGGCACCTGCGCCCGTTTGCAAGATCATATTGCGCCTCTCATCCTGTCGCTCACGCAGAAACCTGAAGGAGGGAGAAGACCGATCGGTATTATCTCGACTCCAATGAGGTTACGCAGCAGAATGAGGCGCGAGGAGGCGGAGGTTCGGGGGCCCGCGCATCCGCGCGAGTACATGCATGCTGGCAAGGGTTAGGCTTGTGAGATGGCGGTCTGGAAGCAAGCCTTCAAGAATGAGGCCGCCCAGGCCAATGAATTTTCCAATGGGCGCACGACGATTTACCGTGAGAAGGCGCATGGGCGCATCACGCGCACAATTGGTTAGAACGCGTCAGAAGCACGGGTTCAGCCTGCGACGGCTGGGTCGCCCAGGTAGGTGAAGCTGTTTCTATGCCGTTTGCGCTGGACAACGCGATCATGGCAGGCTGGCTGGCGACAACCTTGCCCGAAGTCTTGCTGAATGTCTCCTGGGCGCAGCGCATGTTTGGCGGCCTCGCGTAGGTGCCTCGCTCATGGTCGACGATTTCAGTCTGCTGGCAGCGGGGGGTCAGAGGTTCATTCGAGAACAATTCGTCAGGTGCACCTCGTTCGTTTGCAGGGGGCTTGGGAAGTTGGAGATCAAAGTTTCCCGCAAGCAATCGATCCTGGTGGCTGACGCCGGGGGGGGGGGGGCGTGTCGGGGCCTCTTGGAGTTCAAGTTCGTCCAGGCGGCCGAAAACCTAGGCGTTGATTACAAGTCGAGGTCGGGGAACGGCGCCGTCAAAAAGAAACGCCTCTCCTCGTCCAAAGGGAGGACGTTTGTCGGGGTGGGGCCGTCCCGTCTGTCATGCATGGCGTCTCCGTCGCTGGGACTGCTCAGGAGGGGCCGTGATCATGGCGGGCTGGCAGCTGACGCCGTGGCCCTGACGTGCTAGACATTCGATGGACCGGACAGCGAGGAGCCAGCTCGCAGCGGCGTGCATCGACGGGTCCGCCCACGGCGGCGAGATCCGACGGCTTCTCCGTGCGGGGTGGGCTCGTGCATCGATCCGCCCGAGCATGGGCATGCGGGGCCATGGCCGGCGGGCCGTCCCCCCGGGCATTGCAAGAGCTGTGCAGCTGCTTCATGGCCTTGTGCCTGATGGGGCCAAGCATGTCACTCCTCACGGATTGCACAATGGCGCGCGCGACGGCTGGAATGGGAAGGGGGGCGCGGCCAATCCAAACAGGTGCCGCTCGGAGCTTTGGCGCTCGATCTGGACCAGGGCCGAGACCGTCGGAGCAAATCCGGTCTCTGTGACATGGATGCCGTCGCATCTGTCGAAGGGCGCAGCGGAGGGACGCGGCTGCGAGCCGCACTGGTTTCGAGGCAACAAGGAAGCAGACTCCTGGGCCACTGGAGGTGCCAAAGCGCATACAGCCAACCACTATCTCCGTGATCGCATTCATTTTCGTCATGATCAAGTTACCTTCGTCGCTCGGTACTCGGTGGCAGTCCCCAAGCATGTCCACCAGTTGGGTTATCCTGATGTGTCGTCATATTCCGAACGTGCCAATAGAGAGTATCAGAATTCGGAGGCCCCATTTCCGGAGATAGTCTCAGATGGTAAGGGTCACGAAGTCTCTCAGGCTCCAAACGGGGGGTGGGGTGCAGTGCGTGCAGGGCGGCCCGTTCGGTTCGCTTTCGGCTGGTGCAGCTGCCGTGCCCTGGGGTCCCGCGTGAGGTTGCCCAGGCCCACCTCACGCATCATCTTTGGCAGAGTGCTGATGTGGCCTGGTGAGTGCGCTGTGGAGTGTACGCCCGTATGAAGGCCAAGGGATTAAGTAGGGAGTGCCAGGGTTCAGCTGGCACAGTGTGGAAAGTGCGGGCCCGGGGGGTGTTGAAGCAGGGTGAGGATCCCTCGATCTCTAGAGCGGAGGCGGCCATCCCTGCCCCCCCCGGGCGCCCAGGACTTTCTTTCCTGCTTTTCTCTTTCGGGCAGGCGTCTCGTGTCATCGGGGCGACTGCTGAGGAACGCAAGAGCGCACGGGGAGGAGGAGGAGGAGGAGGAGGAGGAGGAAGAGGAGGAGGAGGAGGAGGAGGAGGAGGATGAGGAGGGGAGGAGGAGGAGGAGGAGGAGGAGGAGGAGGAGAAGGAGGAGGAGGAGGTGGAGGGGGAGGGGGGAGGGGGGGGGGGGAGGAGGAGGTGGAGGAACGCACGTCCCTGTGCGGAGACGGTTTATCACCTGGGTGCCGCCGTACCGCCGTGCAGGCCTGGGCCGGCCTCAGCGCAGCGCGGGCGGTCTTGAAGAGGTTGGGGTGCTGCTCGTAGCATCCGATGCTGACGTGGTATGCGCCCACGGGCACGGGGTCGGCGCTCATCACGTCGGCGGAATGGTTCTGCACTGCAGCGCAGTCGTACTTAAGGCGGTCGCTCTTCAGGCAGAGTTGGGTACGCCACATTACAGCGAGGCGCGTGACCGAGTTGAGGATGCTATTCTCGTCCAGCGCGCTTAGTCGAGCGCTCCGAAGCCCATCCGCGTCAGCAAATCGGGCGCGCCAGCTTGCCGCGGGGCATCGCGACGTGGTAGCAGGCTCGGCGGCAGACCATGTAGTGGGCCTGGCCGTCGGCACCCGCGGGGCAGCCGAAAATGAAGAGGCGCTTCAGCCGCTGCACGTGCATCCTGAAGGTCATCGGCCATTCTCCCGCGTACGTCTTCATGATGGGCCAAAGCATCTTGGCAATCGTGGAACGTGCCTTGGCCCATCTGTTGTGGATCGCTAGCGGCAGCTGGATCGTGGACGTGTGGTCGTTGTAGTGGTCGTCGTCGTTGTCGTCGTCTTACCAGCGGTTGTTTTTTTCGGAAGAGTCGCGTGGCTGTCATCGTTGATCTCGTTAGGGAGTCGGACCCGCTGGCGTCGGCCAACGTGTTCTGCTCTCGCGGCTTCCAGTAGTTGACGAACGTTTGGTGGCATGCGAAGCTGTTGGGAAAAGCCTGGCGTTGTCACCACCAAGCCAGGCGTTCCGACAAATGCGGTGAGCCATGTCTCTGGAGGCGGAGGAGGAGGAGAAGGAGAAGTAGGAGTAGGAGTAGGAGGAGGCGGAGGCGGAGGCGGAGGAGGAGTAGGAGTTGGAGGAGGCGGAGGCGGAGGCGGAGGAGGAGGAGAAGGAGGAGGGAAGGCAGGGGGAGGAGGAGGAGGAGGAGGAGGAGGAGGAGGAGGAGGAGGAGGAGGAGGAGGAGGAGGAGGAGGAGGAGGACCAACGCCCCCACCGCACCCCTCCTGGGCCCAGGCGGTGCCCCTCGGGAGGGGGGCCGGGCGCTCGTGGAGGGGCCCGCTGCGCGCTCACATGTGCCTCGGGTCCTTCCAGTTGAATTCGCTGCCCCAGAGGTAGCCCTCCTCGCGGACGCGGTGCGCCTGCGGCAGGGGGGCCCAGCAGCGAATCGACGACAAAGGGATCGGCGATCGACATAGGAATCGGGTCGGCGGGAAGATCGGCGGCCGAGTCGGCGGGGAGTCGAATCGGCGGGGGTCGGCAGGCTGGCAAGGCCGCCACTGGGACACCGAGATCCAAATTGGAACCCAACGTCAGATCGGATCGGAAGGACCCAAATTGGAACCCGAATTGGAACCCAATCTGGAAATTGGAACCCAAATTGGAACCCAAATTGGAACCCAACGTCGATCGACATCGAACCGAAGCGAGCCGGAGGATCCGAGACGAGCTCGGCCCCCAGGTGGCGCGGCGCGCAAGGGGCGCCGCGCACGCCAGCCGCGCAGGTTTCACCGGCCCCGGCGGGGGGCCCGCCCCGGACCTATGATCGGCCCGGGCAGAGGAGGAGGAGGAGGAGGAGGAGGAGGAGGAGGAGGAGGAGGAGGAGGAGGAGGAGGAGGAGGAGGAGGAGGAGGAGGGAGGAGGGAGGAGGGCGGAGGAGGAGGAGGAGGGAGGAGGGAGGAGGGAGGAGGGGGAGGAGGAGGAGGAGGGAGGAGGAGGAGGAGAGGAGGAGGAGGAGGAGGAGGAGGAGGAGGAAGGTTTGGGCACCCGTCAGACCGCAAGAAGTAGTACAGTCGGACCTGGGCCGGGCTGGGCGAGAGGGGGGGATAGCAAAGGGTGGGGGTGAGATTCAGCTCACGTAGCTGATGTTCCCTGCGCCTCACGGCGCCAGAGGCGGCCATATATCGAGGAATGGGTCCCTCGGTGGGGCCGAAACCAGCTGCATTCAGCAGATGTCCTAACCCTCCCTTTCCCTATCCCCCCCCCTTTCGTCCGGCCCGAACCTAGGACAGGATAACATCCTTCGAGAACATGAGACCCTCCGCCAGCCATTCCAAATAGAACATCCTTCAAGGGTGCCCTCCCAAGGATGCACAAGAACGTCCTACAGGCACGAAGGACCTTAGGGCACCCTCCCCGAATCGACCTCGATCTTGTGCCTCGGTCCGACTGCAGGAGGAAACATGAAGCAGGAATGCGGATCAACCCGATTGGGCTCGGGCCCGCACAGAGAGTCACAGAAGACAGCAACATCATGTCGGCTCTTGAAATAGGAAGACGCCTGAAGTATATTGGGATCAGGATATGTCGTCGCGCCGTTTGCTCCCGACTCGCCCAAATGGACAAAGCCGACACCACGGCAAACCCACGGCAAACCCTGTGCCCCCACCCCCAGAAGACGACTCCGCCGCATGGCAGACCCCACGGCAAACCTACCGCGCCCGAGGCGGCGTTTGCCCTGGTAGCCGAGGTGCCCTACCCAAGACGGAAGGCCGCGCGTCGGAACAAACGGCGCGGCGACGCATAGAAACGGACCTTCTTTCCACGACCGGCGTGTGCGCGTGCGGACCTCGCCGCCGGAGACGGGGGGGCTGCGCGAGGGGGGTGGCCTTCTGCGGCGTGGCGCTTCTGCTCCGCGTGCCGCGGCCGCGGCCCCGGTGGCGCGCTGTGCAGTGCAAACGGGTGGCGCTCGAGCGACGAAGAGAAACGGGTCTTACGCGAGATGTCGTAGCGACCTTACGCCGCGGCTCACGCGGGCCGCCGGCGCGGCACGCCGGACTGGAGGCGAGGGGGCTCGCGCGCGACCTCACGCGGGCAACTTGCGCGCCAGTGTAGGTGAAGACGACTCCTGCATCCGCGTCGCCCATTTGGCGGCGCGCTTCGCAGGAAGGGAGGAAAGGCTCGGGGCGCTGACGCTGGCTGGCGGCGCGCAGAGGGGGGTATGGGGGAGGGGGTTAGGGCTTCTTAGAAGGAGGCTGCTCCTTAGACGGCGCGGGCCTCACATCCATAGACAAGGTCCGCGCCTTCTGAAAAGCAGGGGGTGCCTCTAAGGAACCTCCCCCCCTCCCCCCCTTTGCCCCCCTCCGCGCGTGGCCCAGCCTGGGAACGGGGAACTGGCCATCGCTCGGACGTCCATCCCCTGTGCTTTCTTCGGGTTCGTGCGCGGTTTTTTTTCGCAGGATGCTCCAGGATGCTCATGGCTGCACACCCGACAGGGGTGGCGCCGCCCAGCAGCCCAGACCCCCTCCTCCCTCCCTCCCTCCCTCCCCTCCCTCCTCCCTTCCCTCCCTCCCTCCCTCCCTCCCTCCCCCTCCCTCCCTCCATCCCTCCTCCTCCTCCCCTCCTCCCTCCTCCCTCTCCTTCCTCCTCCTCCTCCTCCTCCTCCTCCTCCTCCTCCTCCTCCTCCTCCTCCTCCTCCTCCTCCTCTAATAACAAGAATCCCCGCCGAGAAAAAAGTGCACACGTCCGAGCGATACCCAAGGGAAGTGGCTCAGCGTGCCGCGCCGCAGCGCGGTGGGCCAGAGAGCCGGCGGCGCGACAACGCTGAGTCACCGCTCCCAGTTGGAGGCGGCCGGGGGGTCTGAGAGGACCTCCTCCTCCTCCTCCTCCTCCTCCTCCTCCTCCTCCTCCTCCTCCTCCCCTCCCCCTCCCCCTCCCCCTCCCCCTCCTCCTTCTCGTCCTCCTCCTCCTCCTCCTCCTCCTCCTCCTCCTCCTCCTCGTTTTCCTCTTCATCCTCCTTTTCCTCCTCCTCGTCGTCCTCCTCCTCCTCCTCCTCGGGCCAGAAGAAAAAATCGGCCAGGCCAGCGTGTGAGGCCAGATCCGCTCAGATCGGTCCTGGGACCCCTCCCGAGGCCCACCTGGCGGAAGCTCTCGCCTCGGAGGTCCACTTCTTTGAGGGTCCCGGGGCCCGAGCATGGCCCCTGGAGACCGAAGACAGGCACAGCGATGCTCGGACCCAGACACCCGGGACCTCGCCCCCCCTTCCTGCTCGGGGGGGGCCCATGCTGGGCCACCTCGGGCCCTCGGCCCGCTCCGAGCTCCTGGCTGGAAGCAGCCACGCAGGGGGGGGGCTTTCAAGAAGGTTCCTCAGACTTCTGCAGCAACTCGCGAGAGCCTCCCAGCCTATTGTGTTGACTCTTGCGAATTGACACTGGTCGACGCTAATCGACGCTGAATCGTCGCTGAATCGACGCCAGTCGGCATTAACCCCCTATGATTTGCTACCGAATCGGAAGGCGAGGCGGCTTCCCCCGAAAGCCCTCCTCAGTGCGTCCCCGGCACTGCCGCAGTGCGTCCAGCACCACAGTCTGTGGTGCTGGACCCACACAACGTGGGGGAGGGAGGGGAGCGCTGCGTTATGGGTGGGGGTGGGGGTGGGGGATAGCGTGCGTTACGGCCCAGACGGTGAAAAACACTCTCCTCCCAGCAGGCAGGGTCCAGTGCAAACGCACCAACTTCGGGAGGGGGGGAGCGTTGCGTTATTGGTGGGGGGAGGGGGGGCATTTCGCGCGTTATGGCCCAGAGGGTGAAACAAACACTTTCCTCCCAGCAGGGTCCAGGGTGCAAATGCACCAACTTCGGGAGGGGGGGGGAGCGTTGCGTTATTGGTGTGGGGGGGCATTTCGCACGTTATGGCCCAGAGGGTGAAACAACACTCTCCTCCCAGCAGGCTCCAGGGCGCAAATGCTGGGGGGGAGCGCTGCTTTATGGGCGGGGGGAGGGGGGGGGGCATAACGCGCGTTATGACCCAGAGGGTGAACAAAACACTCTCCTTCCAGCATGGTCCAGGGTGCAAGCGCATCAACTTCTGGGTGGAGGGTTGCTTTATGGGTGGGGGCAGGGGGAAGTTTAACGCGCGTTATGGCCCAGAGGGTGAACAAAAACACTCTCCTCCCATAGAGTCGTCCTGGGTGGTGTCCGAGTAGATGGGGTCGGAGGGTCTCGCCGCATGGCCGATGCATCGGCCATGCACCGGCGACGTCTGCGATGCATCGGCGACGTCGGCGTGGAGAAAATTTGACCCCACATCGAGCCGCATCACTGGTGCAGCGCCGATGCATCGGCGATGCGGCGACATCCTCCGACCCCATCTGCTCCGACCCCGTCTAAGAGGCCTAGATTTAAGTCGGGCCTGTCCCCCTACAGGGGGATTTTCGACGAAAACTAAAAAATATCCAAAAGTACCCCAAAAAGGTCAAAAAATACAAAAAATAGTCCCCAGACTATTCTTAGACTATTGTTTGACTGTTTTTAGGGTATTTTTTTATTTTTCGTCGAAAATCCCCCTGTAGGGGGACAGGCTCGACTTAAGCCTAGATCCCAGCAGGGTCCAGGGTGCAAACGCACCAACTTCCCGAGCCGCGTCCAGCCGTGGCCACGAGGGCCCACCCCGAGGGCCAGCAGTCGTTGTCTCTTCAGCCGCCCTCCTGCGCCCCAGGGCCGGGCTGACGTCGATGCTGCGGGACGGTGATGGTGGGAACTGGAGTGAGGAGGAGGAGGAGGAGGAGGAGGAGGAGGAGGAGGAGGAGGAGGAGGAGGAGAAGGAGGAGGAGGAGGCTGAGGGGTGACCCTCGCAGCTGGATGGTGTGCGAGAGCAGCGTAAGGTGTTTGCAAACATTGGGCCTTACACTGACGGGGGACTCCTGCAACAATAGTAATAATAATAGTAATAATAATAATAACATTAACAATAATAATAAGAATATTAATAAGAAGAAGAATAATAATATGAAGAATAAGCATAATAAGAATAATAATAATAATACTAATAATAATATATACACCAGATGCATAAACTTTTGGCGCTCCGTGCGGATTTCTGGGCTCTGGCCTGGACCCCACTCCCTGGCGCGCGGAGCGCGCCAGGGTCGGCGCCGGAGGCGCCGCCGGGGGGGCCCAGCGCAGATCCAAGAAATCCGCGCGGAGCGCCGAAACTTTATGTCTACGGCGTTTTATTCCTCTTCGAGCCACATGTTTCGTCCTCGAGACTGCAGCTGCGACGCCCACCGCACACTTCCTGCTGGCCGCGGCTGACTGCTGGCCCGCCTGAGCCTACTTGAGCCGAGCCCCACCCGCCAGCGTATCGTGAGGCGCGGGCCGGAGTGTAGGACATCACGGGCCACACTTTTCGGGTTGACCCAAAAGGGGGTCCAGCGACAAGGGGGGGTGCAATAGATTTGGTGCAATAGATTTGCGGGGTTGCAATACATTTGGGGCGTGCACTACATTTCGGGGCGCAAGTGTATTGCTGTATTTTCGCGTGCGATACATTACTTGCAATACACTGCGATACAGTTCTCCGGCGCAGTACATTTGCAATACAATTGCCCCAAATCTATTGCACCACACCCTTTCAGCTGGACCCCCTTGTGGGTCACCCAGAGCTTTCCCACATCTCCAGTCTGCGAATGGGTCGAGCGAACACGACGCAGCGACTTGCAGGACAGCACGAGCCACGCGCTCCCACCATGCCGAGACCTGCATCGCCGTTGCCTGCATCGCCGTGAGCCCGTCTACAGTCGAGGCGTTGACCTAAGGAACCCTAAATAAGGAACGAGGCCCCTATTTCCATAAGTTGAGCTTCGATTTCGTATCGAAAACCTAAGGAAAATCCAAGGCAAGCTGCGAAGCAATTAAGGAACACTGAGCCCCTCCCCAACGAAAAGGGTTCCTTCTTCAGGGCCCCGACTGTACGGTACAACCCCCGCCCCTCCCCACCAGAACAACAGTCTAACTTTTGCAGGCTGTGTCGAAGAATCGTCGGGGGGACTTCCCTGGGGGTAGTTTTCCATTCCGGGTGCGTTTCTGACGGCCCCGGGCGGGGCACGACAGCGGCCCCCGGACGCCAAAAACGACGGAAAGCCGAGGGCGACGAAAACATACAAGTCGACGATTCAAGTTACACCACTCCTCCGGGGCAGCGTGTGAGCCGAGGCCTTCGGGACCGTCTCGTCCGACGCCGCGTCCTGCTTGCTCCGCCGGATATAGTCGCCGATGAGGGCGCTCTCCTCCTCATGCGTGTGGCCCTCGTCCCACGCGACGTGCTCTGCCTCCACGAGGCTGAGCTGGTCCTGCTCCTGCGTCAGTGGGGGCGGGGGCGCCGACTTGATCCCCGAGGGCACCGGCAAGCCCCTGGTGACGAAGTACGAGGGGTTCACGAACACGGCGTCCTGTCGAGGAAGAGCAAGACGTGTTTCTTTTCCGCAGCGACATCGCCTGAAGGCTCGCTCGCTTCGTCAGTATCAGCCGGGGCGCAGAGAGGAAACGGTGCACATCAGAATCCAGACTGGGAGGAGAAGCGGCGGACCAGGAGAGTGCCCTGGCTCCTGGAGAAGAAAAGAGGCGGCACCATGTAAACTTTCGCTGGTCCGTGCGGAATTCTTGGGTCGGCGCTGGGCGCTCCTGGCGGCGCCTTCGGCACCGCCGCCGCCACGACCAGAGAAGACGTCGCACTCTGCTTCGCGGGGCTCAGCCTCCTACCCGAGCCCAAGAAATCGAGAGAGGCCCCCGTCGCAGAGGACCATTTTCTACCGAATGGATCCCTGACGCACCGCGAGCTCGCTCTGCCACTGCACGGGCGCCCAAAGCGACGGACCATTCCTACATGGCCAGGCGACGCGCGCGCGAAGGGATGTGAAGGGAGTGGGCGCAACATGGCGCGCCAGGCAGGGGGGCCAGCGCTCATCCAAGAAGTTCACAAGCAGCTCCGAGCAATTCTGTGTGTGCCATTGTTTTACGTTGCTCCCATCGTACTGAAGGGCCACATCCCAGAAATCACTTCGAGCACCCGGAAGAGTGTCGAAACAGTGCCGAAAGAGTATCGCCTCCCAGGGCCCGACACGTGAAACCCTTCAAATTTCGGTACTTTCCTGGTGCTCGAAATCATTTCTGGTGATCAAGGCTAAAGTAGGTTGGAACATCATAAGCCAATTGGTTGTTTCCTAGATCTTCGAGTCCTGGTACTCCCATCGCTGGGCGATGGTGTTAACCCACGTCGGGTTGAGGCCGCCCACGTACTGGAAGGAGGCGTTTTGCATGATCTCGAAAAGCAGCTGTTCGGTGGCGGCCCGCGTCCTCATCTCCCAGCTCTCGTTGCCCTTGCCGTCGAGGTGGTCGTGGATGGTCGCGCAGACCACGCCGATCTCGATGCCGTAGCCGCTGTTTAACGTCGTGTTCAGCACCTCTGGCTCGTACCCGCCGTTGTTCAAAGCCCAGAAATCAACCGTTTTGCGGTTGCCCATCTCGTGGAGGAAGGACGGCAAAGGATGCACCGGCACCCTGTGCCCGTTCGCCATGTCGATCAGGCCGTTCACGTCGAAGCCGGCCTCTGAGGGACTCAAAACGTACCCTGGCCGCAGACATCGGTATCGTACCTCATTGTGTGTCTCCTTCGAAAGGACTTTGCTCAACACAATGCCCTTCGAAACCTCTTGCCGCTACGTGCTTGTTTTTGATGTTGCATCCTCCCTTCTCTGTTGCAACGGTTATTCGAGTACAGCCGGACCTAGGACAAAATCAATTTCTTCAAGAACATGAGTCCCTTCGCCGGCCAAAATGAATAGCATTCGAGGGTACCCTCCCCCAGGATGTACAAAGGCATCTAACAAACACGAAGAACATGAGGGTACCCTCCCCAAACCGACCTCGATGTTGTACCAGTCCGACTGTATTGTGCCCACTTCGAACGGACTCTTAAACACGGTGCCGTCCTCGCAAAGATGGGTTCAGGGGACGTTTCTAACCGCAAGACCTCCATCTGCGTGGTGGTCCAGGAAACGCCACCCATGAACAACCAAGCCTTCCTGAACTTTGCCCACAGGGCCATGTACGTCATCACGCGCGGCTCCATGAGGAGCCCGCGCCAACCTACGAGCTCAAAGAGGAGGCTGTTACTGCCGTGCTCGCCCTCCCCCGCATGAGACTCGATGTAGAATCCGTTCGTGATGTTGAGGAACAGCTGGGTCAGGATCTTGACGTCCTGCCTGGCCCAGCTGTAGCTCCGAATGGTGTCGCCGTGGTCCAAGCTGTACTCCCCGTCCTTCGGGACATCGAGGAGGGGCCAGTTGCCGTACTCGACCATCGAGGGATTCCAGCCTGCCTGGGGAGGCGAGGCGACTCCGTCGGGCAGCTTCTGCTTGTGGCCTCCCTGGGCCTCCTGCTCGGCGTCCTCCAGCAGGGCGGCCCCCTGGAACTCCCGCGAGGGCCCGAAGCCGCCCCTCACTGCAGTCCTGGACATGCGCTTGGCCGAGGCCGACGCCTGCACGAGGCTGACCTGGTCCAGGTGGGCCGCCCCCCTGCACGCGCTGGCGTCGAGGATGCCCCCCAGCGGCACCCCTGCGAGGCTGGACGCGGCGGAGGCCGCGACGAGAACGCACCGCATCACGGCCATGAACACACGACTCGAAAATAGTCCTACTGGCGGGTGCTGGCCACAGCACAGCTCCCGACCATGAATAAGGTGGTGTGTGAATCAAGACTTGTGTGTTTTTGACTCAACGTC